CCATGTAATAAATTATTTCACCACAGCCCTTTTAAAGGGCTCTGGATCATCAGACTTTACTTCCAAAGGTTGAAAAAAAAAAAAAATCCCTGTAAATCATTATTGTAGTGAAATAATTTATTACATGGAACCTTAAAGTGGTCTGTTTTTTATTCAAACATATTTGCTCTGAATTTACATTGGGCTCTCCGGATATCATCCTCCTTGGGTCTACCCATACGGATTACCTAGTTTTGCATAAACTATATATATATATATATATATATATATATATATACACATACACACACAATAAAAAAAATTGCATACTTTTTGGTGTAGCCTCGCTTCAATAACCATTACAGATGACATCCCCATAGAATATTACAAACTTACTGCTTTCCAATGACAAAAATGTAGACGAAATAATTTTGCATCCCACACAGGAAGCACATTGGTTCTTGCAAATGACTGAAATGTTTGAATGTACTTGAACAAGACAACAATGTAACATGAACTCTTGATAGTTTATCCACAGTTCTTGAGCACAATACACAACAATTTATTTGAAAATTTGAAAAATAAAATGAAAAATTAAACAGGCAAACCTTGACAGTTCTTATTAACTCAAACTTTGTGTGTGTTTATATATATATATATATATATATATATATATATATATATAAACACACTAAACAATATATATATATATATATATAGGAGAGAGGCACGGTGGAGTAATGGATAGTGGCTTGGATTGAGGAATCGCAGAGCAAAGTTCGAATTCCAGACGAATCCATTAAATTCATTTACGTGCTAATACCCTTGTGAACGGTATGAATCCTCTTCTTCTCCCTCCAGCTATGGGTAAAATAGCAGGACAGACTGGGTTCTATAGCCTTGGATGGCAACTGGTCTAGGAGAAGGACAACTCTGAATTTAAAACCTGTGGAGGGTCGTTTGGGAACCTTGTGGCACTTAGTGCACCAGGTCTCTGTATTCGTCCCTTCAAAAAGTGTGGATGGTCCTGCACGAAGCCTTCACCACTATATAAAATCAAATCAAATCTCATGCGTCGGTTTCCTGGAAACTGATCTGCTTGACCCTCATACATCGAATTCGACAGGAGAGTCGAGTAATATATATATATATATATATATATATATATATAATAATAATAATAATAATAATAATCCTGTGTACATACAGCTGACTTTGCCTGACAGTTTCTTGCATGCTATATATGCAATCTTCAGGCAGATGGCACTGCTCTGTTAAGAGGTATTGACATTTATCCTTCCTCAGTTAACACAGGATATTATAATAAGAGCAGTTGGTGAATACATATAAGTACCCAAAGAATGGGTGTTATTTGAGGGAGAAAAATCTCTAAAACATCAGAATATATTTACAAGTTTGTCAAAAATCTGCTCAATGTCGCAGGAACAATTGGACAATGGAATAGGAGCATAACGCAAAAAGCAAAAGTGTTCCACAGGACTGCATGCATAATGTGCAAGCAATTGTCAGTCATTGTCAGTCATATGTACACTGGATTATTATGATAAATATAATATAAATGTTCTGCCACTGTGACAGTGAGCTTTTTTTTTCTGGTATGTTCTTTTAAGTATACACCTTTGGGAGTTATTTACATCCAGACAATGTAGTTTGGCACCAGAATGGATGATTGGTTGCTCATTTCTCCCATTTTTACAGGTTGGTACAGCTCTTTTTTTTTGTACTCTTTTTCCTTATAGGGACACATTAGACAGCTTGGGTCTTAGGCCAGTGCTAAGATCATTGTAAATTCCTGATTTCCTGATCAAAACTATGTTCTTAATGGAACTGGACAAACTCTCAAAATATGAAACTATTGAATCAAACAATCCTGTGTTCAAATAATGAACCTAAATTTATTCATTAAAAGATAAACGTCAATGATTTTCTTTTTTAAACTCCTATTTTACTACCTGTTTTGTATTGACAATGAAGATTTCACTTCAAAATTTCAGTGGTTGTTCTTAAGAATATCAATCTAGAATTATCCCCAATCCCAGCAAAGTTATTTAACCACTGCTTGAAGGAGTAATCTTTCCCAAGCCTGTGGAAGGAGGTGTTATAGACAAGCATATGGTTGCAAGAAGGAAATATGACAACAGCAGAAATAGATTTACGTGATTTATTTCAATAGGAACGTGTGGGTTTGGGACAGCTACCTTGTGGTATAGTTCATAAGCCGGCTGCCGATCTGGGTTGATCTCTCATAGTAGTTCTCACTGGTTGGTGTGGCGCTCCTCCTGCTGACTGATCATGACAGATCTCTTCCCTGGCCTCCTGTTAACTGCTAGTACTTCCCCGTATGACCCCTTTTACAGTGTTTTTTATGGCTTACCAGCCTCAAAAAATGACACGAGTATGATTAGGAGGGAAGCATTTTTATTGGTCAAAAAATAGAAACACTTTAAAATATTATTTTATTTTTCGACCGGAACTCGTGCGTCAGGCCTATGCGCAAACGACGATAATGGTCATTTTGTGACAGGGCCTTGTCCTGTTCACATCCAGCTCTCGCTCTTGAGTATGTTAGTTTATTTGTCTGCAAATCAGCCAAGATATGTCTTATTTTATTTTATAACAGAGGTAATTTCTGCCTGTCGATACCCCATTCTTCACCTGAACAAGGGTGAGCAATTCTCCCTCTGTTTTTAGGGCATAGATGTAATAGTCCCCTACAATATCATTAGTAATTTTTGAATTTTCTTTTTATTTTACAAAATTCATTGAAATGCACCTAAATAGAAACAACCCTTTGTGCAACAAGCAATATCAGTTTTGATCAGCTCAATCCATTGCTGATGTCCTAACTACCATTACACACAGACTTAATGAAGTCCTTGACAAAATTAACACCATTTACAAATTTTGGATAGCATTAGATTTCTTAAGGCCTTTTTGACTATCAAATAAAAGATTTATAATTATGAATTTTTTTTTAATTAATTCATCACTTAAAGGGTTTTCTCAATTATAAACATTAGTCCTTCTTTAGATAGATTTAATAAATCTTTATTTTTAAAAGCCAGTCCCATATAAGTTTTCATGTGGTCAATGACAGGTCATTTACCTCCAGAGGTCACTTTTTTAAATAAACCCATTTTATTTACATTTTTTTTCTTCCTAAATATACAAAATCATTTGGAAATGGTCTATTGGTTACATGATATGATTTTTAAGGAAGCAGATGTTGGCTCATCAGAGATTTAAAAATTATTTTTCTTCCAATGCAAATATATATTTTTTAATAAAGATGGCAGCTCACCTAGTAATGGATTCCCAAGTAGTAGACCAAAGCTAAACCAGATGAAGTAAAAGACAATATTATTTGGGAGAAATTTGAAAAGCCTTGTTTTCATTGTTTAAAAGCATTCCCAAACACGCAGGAGTTTGTTTATAAGAATGGTTGAAGTCCTGGAGAAAAAATATCATGTGATTTCCGTTTTTGCAATGTCACAGTGCATAGCATTTTGGGTTCAAAACACGTGTCCTGACTGGTATTGAATCAGGTCGGAGTTGCTGTTGGCCCGCCGATATGATGCAAAGCCCGAAATCAGGTGATAAGGACACCGGCATCCCTGAAGACCACCAATGATGCATCTAAAATGTATTATTTAACCAGTGGGGTTAAAAACTGGATGGTTACATTCAGTGCATTGAAACTTTGTACAGGGTGAAATCTTACTGTAAAAAAAAAAAAAATGATAAACTTCGATTTTCATTTTTTTTTAGAACTTTCATGTATTTTCATTTTTGTCCTCATCATATTCATCCATTCTGAGTTCAAATGTCTATTATTTTTGGTGGCAAAAGAAAAAAAGCTTGCATGGAACATTTTTTTTTTCCAAAACAAAACGGATTTTTTCTTTTCACTTCAGCCAATTATATATTTTTATTGTATTTATATATATATATTTTGTTCAAAAAACGAAATTTGATCAATCAAAATAGTTTGATGCCAAAAAATGGACAATTTGTTTATGAAAATTTTCCCAGTTTTGCTGGTTGATATCAACCTTGATCCGAATATGTCTTGGTGGATCCTTACAGAAATGCATGAGAAACCACAGGGTGTTTGACCAATGCTAAGTTCACTGTAAAGGATCTTTTTATGGAATCTGTCATGGTTTATGCAGAGTATATTGCCTGTCCATCAAAAGCAATGTTTGATGATGGTCTCTTCAATGCTGTCCATTATAGTTTTCTCAAGGACTGCATAGGCAAAAACATGATGATTCCAGTTAATGTTTTTAATTGATTGGAGTTGTATATAATATACAAGTTGATAAGGATATACAATAATCTGGAACATGATGGAGAATCCAGCTATTTAATATTTTATATTAAAAGAATTATAACCTTTCTGGGTAGTGACATTGTAGTCTTCTTCAAGTCACTCCTCTTGGAACACTTATCCCAGTATCCTTTGCACTTTTCAAAACAATAAAATCCTTTCAGAATCACCATTATCTGCCTTATTACATTCTCCTTAATCTTGTCCACAGTCTGAAATGGTGATTTTGGCTTTGAGAAATATCAGACATTGCAAGATGCTAAGTGTAGGGGACGGGCTGGCATATCAGGATGATACACTGTTTTGTCATAAAACCCTGCACTGTGAAAACAATGGTTATACAGTAAACAAGCTCACTATGGTATCTCATTGATGATTGACTAATCCTATGAGAGAGTGTCTGATTAAATAGGAGTTGATTGATTCACTTATTGTCCAATTCACACTCCTCCCTGGTCTTTTGAACAGGAGTCGAGGTTTATCTCTTGTTTTTTGATTAAGATTGGGTTTCCATTTCTTTCTAATATCTTTTCATTCTCTTTCACTCTTGGTAACCCCTTGTGTCTTAATGGCATTATTGCCTTACTTGGGGTGATTTGATTAAAAAAATACTATTATACATCCTACAAGCACACATATCTTACTACCTAAAATAGGCTTTTTGCTTAAAGCCATATCATGTTGAAACACCGGTTCCTATATGATCACCAAAGTTAAGCAATGTCAAGCCTGGTCAGTACCTTGATGGATGACCACTTGGGAATATCATATGCTGTAAGCTGGGATGTGCAGGTAGTGTAATGGATAATGGCTCACAATTGTTAATTGGAGAACCGAGTTCCAATTCCAGTTGGGTTCTTTTTATTCATTTAGGTGCAAATATGCTTGGAGATGGTATGAATCCACCTCTTTCCCCCCACCTATGGGTTAATTACTAAAACTTGTATTACTAAATCGTTATCTTCCCACCATCAAAAAACAAATTCTTATAATCTAAAAATATTTTCTGGCTTTAAATAAAACTGCAAAGAGTTGATAAGAGGTAGAAAACAATCAATCAATCTTACTTGTGGACAGCAAATGGTTGTTTTAAAGTCTTCATATTTAGATTCTACTGTTTATGTCATGCTAACTTTGTGGGTGTTCAAAACCAATTGAGCAAGGAACTATTGTGTCACACTGTTACATGCTCCTTTGTCTTGCCTAGAGACATTAATTTGCACTAATTTAATTAACATTAATTTTCAATAATTAATTAACATTTACTTTAAGTGCAATAACAATTTTTCAGTCTATAAACTGTGAAATCAAACACTATTGCTTTGGTAAGAACTGAGAAGAAACTTCAAATCGCTACTGTTCTTTGTTAAACATGCTATGCGATATGAGGTTTATGTTGTAATTTGTTATGTCTATTTGACAAATTTTTAGTCAATTACCTGAACTCGGAGCTCGTTAGGCACGGGGCTCTTTTTTAGCTTAAAGCATGCCCTGGATTATTTGTAGCACAAATGCATTAACAAAATCTGTCAGCATTAATAGGGCTCTCCAAAGCTCTTGAAATTTTAATCTCCAAGTCAAGGACCCACATTGCAGTGTGCACTGAAACTTTAATTGTCTTCACTGATAGAATTGCTTCTTATTTAACCCAGTTCAGTACAAAATACTGAAGCTAATATAAGAAAAAATGACATGGGTACAAGAAAAGAAGAAAGGTTTTTCTTATAGATACAACTAAACAAACAAAAGTTTGCTCTTTAAAAGTAGTTAAGTGTTTAAGTAAAAAGAATTTATGGAAAATAAAAGGCCAAAGAGCTACTCAAGATAGAAGGTTGTTTATAAGGATGTAAAAGGAGAAAATAACAATTGCATATTATGAGGAAATGTAAGATAGATGATGGTTGAGCCTAAACTTGGGAGTTTGTTTCTAAATGGAAGAATAGTATGAAAAAATACTTGACATAGCATCGTTTGGTTAGTATAACCTGCATCAATCTTTTACTGATGATAATATTATGAGGTTATGATTGTAGTCATCAACACGCCGCCAAAATGTGACCCTAAAGGAATTTCCGTTTGAGAGTCTGTTTAGACGTTAAATGAATATACTATAAGTAAAATACTTTGATTAGTATAACCTGCATTAATTTCCGATTGATATTTTTCTTCTTAATTTTCAATGATTTTCTCAATTAAAATTGTTAGTGGTTAATTTACATTTTACATATAATAGCACCCTCCTGTCAGTATTACATTAATTCCTGACATGTCCTCAAACACTAATTTTTCATGCATTTCTATTTAAAATAATTTTATGAATCATTATTTCTCTATCTTTTATTAAATGTTTGAATGGATTGTGGTGGTCACACATTAATATTCTTCTATAAACCTGTCTCTTCAGGACATGGGTGATCATTGGTTTCTAAAGGTACTTCCTCTGCTTTGTAACATGATTAAAACATATAAATAAAAAAATGATTAAAACATTTTGTCTTTTTAATAAATCTTTTTAATTAGGCTATCCATACATATAAGCTTGTTGGGATTGTTATGAGTTTAAATTTGTTATCAGAAGGTTTTTATATTAAGATGGTTATTTTACGGGCATGTTCACCATATTAATCCACAACAATATAGAATATAGACATTCAAAAAAAATGATCAATCACAAGGCAATTGAGTAAGAAACACAAGAATTATGAGATTTCAATAAAAACAACATGCATTTATGTGCAATTAATATACAATTTGAAAACTTGTGCTTTGATAATGCAAGAAATTGACCATTGGTAAATTGGAATTCTTATCGATTTACAGTTTGAAATTGTTTAAGTGTTTAAGAACTGGTCAAACAGTGTTAAGTGGAAAATATTATTTATACAGAAATTTGTGTAGTTTGTATGCGTGAATAAAGTAGGAGTTTAATTCTTTAAGTTCTTCAGAATTGTTTACCTTGGATTGTTTAGATATTTGATTGAATATTTACAAATACTTGTTAGTAGTGAGTTATTATCACTTTTTAGTATTGTAAGAAATTGTTCCTGGTAGAGCGAAATGCTGCGTGTGTTGAGTCAGAGAAATTTACACGGCAAAAATGTAGCTGGTTATGATTTTGACTGGTGTGTTTCATTTGGCACTTCTCCAGGATGAAATTCTGATTGCTTGAATCGATCTGAACGCTTCCTTTTCTTTAGTTCTGGAAGTAGGAATCGGCTGAAAACAGCTACGCACAAAAAGATATTTTCATGTGAATTTGCTACAGTTTGAGCCAATGAAAAGTCTAGTTCACTGGAACTAGGGTGTTGATTGGTTAATAGGTAATTTTGTGGTAGAGTGTATTATTTCGGAGGGGTGAAAAGGTATGTATGGACTATTCCATCAAGCTCCTCAGGTAAGTGGCTTGCTGCCCTCCATTGTCCCTTTTGCTTTCGATATGACTTGTGAGTCTCAAATTTTTCAAGCACTCTTTCCTCATTATGTGTCCCAGAAATTTCATCTGTTTCTTTCTGATTCTGAGTATAAGTGTTCCTTTTTGTTTTCATTTTCCTGAAGACTTTATTGCTTACATGTTCGGTCCATGATATTCTCAACATCCTTCTGTAGAACTATATTTCTGTTACCGCAAGTCTTCTTTTTATCTGTGAGGATATTGTTTCAGCATTCAATGTTATATAGGAGTACCAATATTACATAGTATTCCAGTATTATTTTCTTTGTTTCTACAAAATATTTCCTGTTTCTTCATACTTTGCTTACTTTTTGGAATTACTCACACAAAAAATTTCCCATCATGCAAAAAATAAACGGAAAAACTGAGCCAGCTTGAAACCTAAAGCCACAAATTATGGTAAAGGGTTTGGCTTGATTTCTTTTACCACCAGCCATCATCAGAGTAAGACATTTTTTTGGACCTCCATGAAACAAAAACATGGAGAATATACAGGGTGGTCCAAAAGTCTTGTCACCTCATGCTAAAAGTAATGAGAACAATAGAAGAACAAGTAATACAAAGCACATGCACTAGATTCAGTTTATTCACTATCATTGATACTGTCACACATTGAGAAGGTCTGTATGAACACCATCATTTTCGTGGCACAAAATGATGCAGCGCCATGTTCTGGGTGATATTTTACGAAGCCATGCTTTGTTGATTGTTGCAAAGGATCTCCAAACAGCATCCTTCAGCTGATGGATTTTATGGTATCGTTCATGTGAAATTCTCTCCTTGTTAATACCCCACAGAACATTGTCACAAGATGTGAGGTCTGGACTTCTGAAATAGAAAATTATATTATCAAGGGGTGACAAAACTTTCGGACCACCCTGTACATAGAAACATGAACAAAAGCAAGCAAAAAGCAAACTTTGTATCCTGTTTGGTCCCAATTCATCATTAAACATTATTATTATTTCAAGGCTGCAAAGTCCAGTCTACCCTACTATGAAGGGAGTACAGAAGTGTTCTCAACTTGACAAAATTCTCAAAATTCAATTAAATGTCCAAACACCAAAATTTATTTTAGAATCTGTTTTTGATAGTACTGAGAACTTTTGAGCATACCCCATGGTTTGAAGAGGATATAGATTCACAGATTAAAGTGAAGTGAATGCAACTGACATTGCCGTGATTTGAACTCTGCACATCAATTCCATTTTCAGTATTGATAACCATTAAACTACCTGTGCATTCTAGTACTTTGTGGGAATTACTTTATAAAATAAAGTAATTCTTTTGTTTACTTTCTGAGGAAATTTTACCCCCACTCGCCAAAATTGTTACCACCCCCACTGTTCATCAATTTCACACTCTTTGACCCTTTAAATTGTTTTATGAGACCCCTTTTTTAAAATCTCTCCTTTATTACATACTAATAAAAATTCTGACCCCCTCTCCAATTATCACCATCACTTTGCTTTAGGTGCTTAAGTATGCTTTTTGTGAAATTAATTAAAATTCAATAAAAATTGCAACCATTTTGTTTTTTTATCTGTTTGTTTCAAGAACATATGCAAAGATGGAAAATAAATTTTATATATAAGATCAGGCCTACATGAGATATGGTCCCTGGGCTGCATGTGGTCCACAAGACTACCTACTGTGACCAGTAACTGCTTTTGAAGTCTGTTTTTTAGTGTTTATCAGAATAAATTCAGTGATTGATTGTGCATGAAAAATTCAGTTTAGTTAAAGCATGACTTCCTTCAATGAATATTTCATTGTCTTTTTTATCTAATTAATCCATTTATCTCTCTCTAGATAAAGATAAAGAATTTTCTCGTCATCCTTTGCTGAAGATTTATATATATTTCTGTGTCACTCATATTCAATAATTTTCTCTAAAAGTTTCCTCAGGCAACCTGCAGCCAATTTTCTGCGATCAATGTGGCTCTTCACAGTTTTTTAATTGTGCTGGCCTGTATAAGATATTTTTAAATTACTAGACAATTATTTTCTTTGGGACTTGAAATTATTCCTTCTTTTTTTGTTTTCTAAGTCTATTTTAATATAACAAGTAAGTTTGCTCAGAAAACTTTAGTTATTTTGAAGCACTTGCCTTTGGTCAAATAAAGATAGATTAATTTTGCAAGGGAGAATTTTTCACACTGGGTTAGCAAATCTTTCTCACACGCATTTGCTGTTTATTGAATATCTTAAGTAAAGGTGTTGAAATTTTGCTGGCAGTATATGTGTATATTTGTAAAACCCATGATCCTTTAACGCTTTCCAAACCAGATTTATTTCAAAATTTTACCAATTTTCAGTGTCGTAGGT